TTAAATAATTCTCCAGTCTCCATCAGTTATACGGCAATGTATGTTCAATAAATTAACGAGAATAAGTCCATTAAGGCAGGGTGGCCCAGTGGTTAAAGTTCAGAGTACCAGGATTGGAGCAGAGAGGCGCGGGTTCGATCCCAGCTCTGTGCGCCAGTTTCTGGTCAGAATCGGCAAGGAGGCCGGGCGGTTAAGCAAAAGCAGAATTGTAGCAGTGAGTAGTGAGCTCGAGACCGCAACAAGCTGTGGATGTTCTGCGATGTTAAGAATCGGCGACAGGCCTACGGCCTACTAAACGCTGAAACCGCTATTATTATTATTTATTATTATTTAGCGACGAACTTTTTGCCCTTGTCTGGGCCGTTCTGACACATTTTGGTATGACCTTATGACCTTATGATGAGTTTAGGACTTCTTAGTCCACGGTCACGCTGATGCGCCGCCTTCGTCGTCCTCCGTCCCGAGTCGTCGCTGGGCAGGTCACCCCGCCCTCGGGTCGCGGATGTTGTCAATGGCAAAAGGAAATATCAGGTCACGGCAAAAGGGAATATCAGTGATACCCTGAATGGGCATGACATATGTGAATGTGTCAATATTAACCCTTATGGTACAGGTATACCAAGGGCATTGCAGGAGGCAGATGCTTATGTTGGGCGCGTTAAATTAAATCAGCATTACACGTAACTGATGGATATTCATAAAATATTGCATCTAAGCTACGCAGCGTAGATCTAGCAAGGCCGTATTTTTAATTGTTCCTTAGCCGACCTCTGAACAGGCAGCAGTTGTCTCGAAAACATTCCTCACATTACACGAAATAAAACAAATTTATCAACAGTAAAAGAAATTCAACTGCATGTCTGGAGTCGTCAATATTTTCATAATAACGTCCTTGTTAGTACGAAAAGGAAACGCGAGAGCAGCTATACGGTAGCCGGCAATATCTGCTATCATTCCTCGGAAGTTTGCCTGTAACTGACTCTTTTAAAAGACTGACGTCATAGGAATTCGTATTTCATGACAAAATTCATGCTAGAAGTTTCTCGTTTCGTCCGACCTTTTGAACGGTAACATCGACGTTTACTGTAGTGCGCTCCGGGATTTTAAATCATTCTGTCCTTGGATTTTCACTTGTACGGAATAAACCCGTCTAATTCGCTATTTGCAATTTTTTCACGTCAAACGATACCATAGGAGAGAGAGATATTGACTTCTATAAAATTTCAATCAACTTATTAGTGCCATTTTTAAACTGGATTATAGTCAATGTTATTTGTGCATGCATAATATGTCAAAGAAATGTAGCGAGTTTGTCCAAATGTACACAAAATGTGAATGATTGATTTATATTCAACTTTAACCGAGTTAACTACAGTTACAGTGAGACATTCGATCTTTATTTTGACATCAGATGTGTGCAGTTCTATCTATGTGTGAATATTGTTTACGTATTAACCATCCATGAAGAAGCAGTACAAGTTTTTCTCGTTGAAGATATTCTTAAACGTGCAAGTTTATAACAGTTTTTATCAAATTATCATACCCCACTACCCATTTCTCCGGCCACAAGTTCCATTGAAGGACCAGAACAGTTATTTTAGTTCTTTTTATATCTACAAGAGCTATAGCATTATACTGCAGCCAGTGCGTTAGGGAGCAGGCTGTCGATCACACCCTACAAGTCAATCGAAGCCGAAAACTTCAAGCAAATTTTATATAACAACAAAATATGTTAACATCAATTTAAACAATTGAAATGCCACTCATATGACAACAGGAATAAATGAATAAATAAGGGTTGCGAAACATAACATCAATCAGCACCGTTGAAAATTCATTCAGATGGCCAGCAGAAACGTAGCGAAGAAACTCGTCAGACTTCATCCCCTGCACCAGTGCGAAATGAACTGCAGGGACATCATGAATAAAATTAAGAATTAGAATAATTTTATGCAGTCATGTTAACCATTTGATGGTTAACTCGATGACCGAATTCAGTAGTAATAGTTTCACAACGATAAAAAATTTTAAATTCACACTTTTTTAATTTTACGTTCTGTCATAAATAGCACAATGGCTTTCGGTCACCGCGTGAACACACCTCTCTACCAGAGGTGCCGAGATGATAAAAGACTTATGAATTAAATATCTAAGTGAGTCTGTTTAAATACATGCATGACTACAGCCTTTCTGCGTGCTCATTAAGTAGATAAAATTTTATTCTTTTCATTTGGTGGGACTTAATTACCCTCATAGGTTCTTTAGTCCGATTTCTTCTTTCGAAATGATAAAGTACTATATTGACGCCATCATTTCAGGTATGCAAGGCGATAAATAATCGCTATAAAATATAACACAGATTTGCGAAATAAGAATTTTTCAGCAAGAGTTCATCGCGCTTATATTGCAGTGAAACACTTCGTTAACAAGACAGATCTGAGGCGAGTTTCTACTCGGAACAATACAAATATAAAGTGACTTATTTCACTTATTAACAATATTCTCGACCATGTGCTAATTTTATACCTATAAATCTTTTAGATGTGATGTTGCCCTCAATTAATTCAGTATTTTGAGCTTTGGACAAATACAATTGAATTTAAACCACAGTTCTCCCTTATTTTTAAAATTCTTCACGAGCTCCATTAGCTCTACCCTCTACAACAGCCATTCCAACTTCAAGTGTGCAGACACGGCAAGTTAAGCGGAGATTATACGTGAGTTTGCCTTGCAAATCCAATCTTCCTGTATTAAGTCTTTGAGTGCTTGCGGCGTTCACTTTCTTTCTTATTCTTCAGAAGACTTTTAGGGACGACGAAGCCGCTTCAAAGGCTCTGTCCGCTGCCTTTACTGATGAGTCTCGCCAACTTTAACAACTTGAGCAACTTCTATAAGTTTTCTCCGAGCTAAACTCGCTAGTGCGCCGTGCGCGCGTGCCTCAAGTCTAACTCAATGGGAGCCCTCAATCACATTTACTGCTGCGTGATGTCCGAAGCTCGAATCAGCAAAGCTGCGCCGCACCCCAAAGTGCCTATCCAGCTAGTGTGAGACAAGGTTGTTGTGCGCTGCGTAGGTGATCTGTCTGTACTATAAATCTCACAGGTAAAAAATTCGGTTGTACGCACTAAGACGACCTGTAGGTGGTGTGTCACGTGGCCTGGACGCTGCCACTCCTCGTGTCGCAGCGCCACGTGGCTTGGACGCTGCCACTCCTCCTGGCACAGCGCCACGCGGCTTGGACGCTGCCACTCCTCCTGGCACAGCGCCACGTGGCCTAGACGCTGCCACTCCTCCTGCGGCACAGCGCCACGTGGCCTAGACGCTGCCACTCCTCCTGGTTTGAAAACTAAATTTCTAAGCTGGCACACGTCGAGTAAGTTATACCTCGCCTCGGAGCTTGTCGTCGAGAGTTTGATGTGACCATCAAGTGATATGCAGGAAAGTAGGAGACATCGATACTAGTAAGCAATGTTGCTACTAAGTATATATGATACAGCTTCGCAGCTAAGTAGGTTTTAGCGTTTCTGCTAAGTAGGAAACAGCTTCGCTGCTAAGTAGTAGACAATGTTGCTGCTAAGGATATATGATACAGCTTGGCAGCTAAGTAGGTTTTAGCGTTTCTGCTAAGTAGGAAACAGCGAGACTGTCTTCTGGTAAGAAGACAGTCTCGCCAAGATATGCGATGGTCTGGAAACTCCTGACTTCAGCTTGATCCACGTCTTGCTCTTTGCAGCTCGTCATTATTAAGAATTATGTATAATTTTTCGGCGTTTATGCTCTTCCAATTCATGTGTATATTAGATGGTGGGGTGTATTTAATGATTCCTTACAAAGTGTCAGAATCATTATCAAAGAGCATTCATTAAGAACCTCCGATCAGCATGACGGTCTAAGACGCGCTTACTCTCATATGGCGCTGGTTATTTAATACGAAAATAACGTAAGTAAAATTTTCTTTTGATTCAAATCGCAAATTCACAGCGAAAATTTAATTGATTTAAAATTCAATCTATTTTGACCTAAATCGACTCTTGCATACGTTGTTAGAAGAAATCTTTAAGTGAAATTGTGGCACAGTAGTGTACAATGTCGCTGACAATCAAATTAATCATACATCAAAGAGTTTATTTGTGTTCGCCAAAAAATATTAATCAACTTGTTATTAATACAAAAATCTAATTTTACAGCTGCATGAAAATATAATAATGAATATTTATTTATTAAAAATATGAAAACCATAGTTTTTTATTTTTATATGGTAACAAAAGTTTATTTATTAAAAATATCGCAACCGAAGTACTTATTTCAATATTAGAACGAGTCTAATTTTGATGTTCAGTTTTCTCAGCCCTAGCAAGAATTAACTTCACCAACATCAACAATAACAGGAAGTATTTTCAGAACATTTCTGCGTACTTGCGTTTGATGTATTTCCTTTATATCTTTATGAAACGATTATAATAATAAAGACTCCACAGATTGCGATGCAATTACCTATAACTCAAAAAATAGTTTTGATGCGAACACTAGAAACTATTTTTGATTATTCTTCAGTAGGTATTTTTCCTTACATTCTTGATTAATTAACGAACTTTCACACTTCAGTGGCGGGTATACAGTGACTTGACTAATGTAAAATCGAAATAAAGTGACATAGTTTTATTGTAGATAATGTAAGTGCAAATAACGTTCAATGTAACTGATCATCCGCAAGAATTATATACAAGCGCCATTATATGAGGATTTACTAGAAGGTAAATAAGAACACGAAAGTTTTATTTTAACATTGCTGTTGGACAATAGTAAAATTCGAGTAAAGTCCATTTCTTTACATTGTTGTCTGAAGGGTATTTGTTCCTTGCGAACCATTGCTGGTTCTTAATATGATGATAACAAGGCTGCAGTCGTGAAGAACCAAAAGCTAGGACGAGATGTGGAGCACAAAGCCTGACACTCCATCACGCTGCGGCCGGCGCAGCCTCTGACGTAAATTGACAGCAATGAGTGGCCTGGCTGACAACCCCTGCTGCCACCGTCCACTCCGCCACTCTCAGTCCACCATCCACTCCTTCTCTCTCAGTCCACCGTCCACTCCGCCACTCTAAGTCCACTGACAATTCCGCCACTCTCAGTCCACCGTCCACTCTCAGTCCTCCGTCCAATCTCAGTCCACCGTCCACTCTCAGTCCTCCGTCCAATCTCAGTCCACCACCGTCCACTCTCAGTCCACCGTCCACTCTCAGTCCTCTGTCCAATCTCAGTCCACCGTCCACTCTCAGCCCTCCGTCCAATCTCAGTCCACCGTTCATTCTCAGTCCTCCGTCCACTCTCAGTCCACCGTCCACTCTCAGTCCTCCGTCCACTCTCAGTCCACCGTCCACTCTCAGTCCACCGTCCACTCTCAGTCCACCGTCAACCGTCCACTCCCAGTCCACCGTCCAATCTCAGTCCACCGTTCACTCTCAGTCCACCGTCCACTCTCAGTCCACCGTCCACTCTCAGTCCACCGTTCACTCAAAATAAAACGTAAAGTTTCTTAAATTTTACTGTACTCTCTTCGGTATCGCAATTCATAACTATTTTTATTTGCAATTTTGTGAGGCAATCGCATAAAACTGCATAACGCATTCCTGCATTGGGCGGCCATTATGCTGTCGATTGTTTATGCTTCTTTCAAAAAGCTTGGATCCGAAAAGCTCACAGGCTTAACGGTAGCGAAAGAAAGAAATTTTTGTATTAAGAAAGTTAAACTAGTTTTTACCGTATAACCGCAAGACGGCAAAGCACAAATCCCTTTTTCTCAGGAGCAACAAATCTTTGATGAGATTTAGAGAAAGTCTGTGGTCTAGTTCAGAAATAAAGTACATTAATCTTGATGTATTTTAATTGGTGCTCTTGTATCAGTGGAATTTTAACCCATGGGGGTCCTTTTACTGCTACGGGTTCTAACTGCAGATCAGCTATGATCATGAAACTTAAAAGCTGTAGACATTGAATTGTCCTCGACCAGCAATAATGAGACAATTATAATTAGTGATGAACCAAATCAATGACAAGGAAATAAACTAATCACTTAATTACGTTACGATAATTTAAAAAATAATTCACCACTGACAATATGTCTTGTTGAAAAAAACGAACGACGAGAAAACGCGTCTTCCTGACGAAATTAAAAGCAAGAGCCGTGATTTGTATTGAAAAATTATATCCAATACGAATAAATAATTTTGTAATAACCTGGTACTTCTTTAGCTGTAAATATATTAGTTGAAGCGACAGTATGTAAAAATCAAGTGTTTCCCACACAAAACTTCATGTACAACATGCCTACTTACACATCACAGGTATATTCCTCGATAACTGCTGCAGCCATCACAAAACCATCAATAAATTTTTCGTAACAAAATTTTGCTCAAACTGTATTGCCTTGAAAATATTTTAAGAACTAAAACCTAATTGACACTTACATAATAAATTATTGTATTCTTAGAGTGACAAAAAATGCCGATATGATCAAATCACCCATATTAATTCGAAATTCGTATTTATCATTACAAATTGTAAATTGAATCCTTCGTCTTGATAACACACACCGAACAACATGTAACAATTGTATTTATTATTGGTCAAAAAATATGAACAGAACTTCAACAAACCCACATATATCCAATATAATACTCTTAATTGTAACATCAAACATTACCACGAATGTGTTTGATGTAACTTCAAAGCCATTCGAAGCCACAACCGCATAAACAAAAATAGAGGTAAAAAGTTCTTCACAAGAAAAGTTGACCACCACAGCGTCTCCCCAATAAATAAAATCAGTTCTGCGCCTTCGCAAAGCTTTCCAACTGAAATCGAATGCGTTATTTAAACTTCACAGTTATTTTCAAAATCTATTTCCACTTGATTCTGAAACATGCCAACGAATGATGAGGGCTAAAAAAATTCTATTATCAAATTCTATTCAAATTCTATTCAAATCAAAATTCTATTATCCTTCGCTAAAAAATTCTATTATCACTAAAATGTTTCTTCTCTTCTACAAACTTTTTATTATGAACCCAAATAAAATTAAATTGAAATTGTATGTATAATAATTATTTTATCTAGGAATTATAAAACGGAAAATTGAAACCAACAGGTGATGAACTTATGAAAGTTCCATTACCTTAAACTTAAAACCAATGAAAACTCCATAAAAATTCATACTATCTTTAAAGAAAACGTTTCGGAGTCCAGCTCCATTCAGTTTGAGAATTCTAAAACACTGATAAATCAGTAATTAGAAAAGTCAAAATAAAAAAAATAAGTGGTAAAACCTATTTATTCCCAATTTCAAGCGGGTAAGAGCTAAAAGCTAAATTTAAACTTGGCCTCTGTTTAAAAATATACAAAGATTATAAAATGCGCAAATCAGGAACACCGGAAGTGGAAGCTAAAACCTTGAAATCACTATCATAAACTGGAACATCGCACTGCTCGGCGTGAGCACTCACAGCCGAATGAGGGGGGGGGGGCGCGATAGTAAGTGACCAGTTCTACAACTCCTGCCCTTATGTTCTGCGACCCTAGAATAATGATTGCGAGACGTCATCCGACGTACACAGATGCACATCGTGCACAACTATATTTATAAACTATGGATGCTCGCATATGCATTGGCAGGGTATTTTTGTACCTGAAAAAGAACCGATTTTAAAATTGTTGACCAATAAAACACGAAGATTAACATTTGCGAAATACTTAGAAAACAAAAGTTTTAGCTCACTTGACATAGTTTCGGATGCAGGGCCGAAATATTGAAGTGAGCAATAACAACATCTAAACTAAATTTAAACAATTTTAAATTTAGCTTTTAGCTCTTACCCGCTTGAAGTTGTAAATAGATAGGTTTTACAACTTAGGTTTTTTGTAATTTTCACTGTACTAATTACTGATTTATCTGTGTTCTAGAACTTTCAAACTGACAATGGAGCTGGACTACGACACGTTTACTTTAAAGATAGAATGAATTTTGTGGAGTTTCTTTGCTTTTACGTTTTTAGTGAATTTACGATTCAAGCAAACGAGTGGCATTATTACTTCCATTACATTGAATAGTTTTTCATCGAGAATTGATGGAGCAAAAAACCTTATAAATTATCACTCCACATTAACTTAAATGTATGGATTACCTGAGGGAGCCTAGCCTGCATTCACGGTGAGGGCAGCAAGCGTTTCCTCGCATGTCAGCGACCAACTAATTAAACATCAAAATAATTAAACCTGTAATAGAATTAATTGGCCGCGGGGTCATGTCCATTTATTTGATGCAATTATGCCTGGGAATGTCAACAATATTTTAAGAATTATCGAGCGGCTTCAAATCGAAGGATCTTTGTCTCCGGATCATCCTTAACCTTACCCAATTCCAACAGTTTATCTATTTTACAACGGTAAAAAAAATACTTGAATTTCACGAGTTTCAGTTCATTCACTTCAAAATTACAAATAATATTCGCAATTTTTATGATTCAACTTGGAAATTTACCCAAACCCAGCAGTCTATTTCTTTAAAAATGGCAAAAAATATTTCTAGAATTTCACGAGTCTCCGTTCAGTCGTTTCTGAAATGCCCGAGGAATATAACCTATATTTATGATTATCGAGCGACTGCAAATCGAAGGAACCTGATCTCCGCATCATCCTGTTGGCTTCATAGGATGGTTTTATACTCGGGTTTGTGATCCTCTCAAGATTTTGCGCAGCCTCGACAGTCAGCGATTGTCTTGTACAAATGAGTTGAATCATCTATAAAAATCTAGTACAGGGAATACATTTTCTCAAATTTAATAATACTGCATGATGAATGAATAAAGCAAAACAAATATTTTTAAATCTGATGGAAAGTAAAGCCCGCGGTGTCAACCAAATAAACTATTTCGACTTACAACGGTAGCTGGTATGGTTCCTTTCTTACTTTAGGATATTTACACTCAAAGCCATGATTTATATTTGACAATATAAAGATGCACTTTTTGCTCTTGTGTGAGTCACCCTGACCTAATTTAGCCCAGCATAAGGCTTATCAGTTCCACTTATTAACTTTCTAGACTGTATGTTAGTAAGAAAATCACAGGCAATTTCAAACTCGAACTTCGTTCAATGTAACACAAGAGATGTCAAGTGCTTTGTTTAATCAAGGGTAGCAGTACTCAACTGAAGCCCCTCGTGTCAAGAGAGGGTAACGAGGGCGTTTACCTCCTGGGCAAATAAAAATCTCACACACTGTGTCAATTTGCGTAATTCACGGGATATGAGAAAGAGTAAACTGAGTGCGGTTATTGATGTTTTCAAATAAAGAAGATTTGAAGTGTACTCTTAATTTTGTATTAAAATTTGGTATAATAAAAATTTACCATCAAATCCACAAAAACGTTTCAATTCTCTTTTTACAGCAAGGTAAACGCATCGCAATGCATGTTTTATTGCTTTCGCCAACCATAAAAATTAGCTTATTTTTAAAGTTTTATCTCTGTAAGTGTTAATTGCCTCTGTAAGTGTAAGTTATGAAAATGTAGGGAAAGGGGATTTAAATAGGGTGTTAAAATGTAAAGCTCTTAAAACTATAAGATCGCAAGCAATGAAGAGCGCAAGGAAAAAAAACTTTATAATAATTCTGGGATATGGGAAATGTAAAGATTTTGTTGATATAACAAAAAAGCGGGTATCCCCACATTGCGGTTAGCCACTCTATTGCGGACCGGAATTTACCAGGAATTAACTATTTAATGTATTAAGGTTGTTGAGCATTCATCCTTGTCATACGTCGCTTCTCTGCTCTATCTGTTATGTGTACTGATTGCTGTTACTTTTATAAAGTGTAAAGCGTTTGATCACTCCAACATATTTGTAGCTGACGAGAAGAACCAACTGAAGGAAAACTTAAAAATTTTTGTTTAAATAATCGTCAAAGTACTAATAACATAGAACCGATAATTTTGAACCTCTTCCTAATTCTTCAAACCTATTCCTAAGACAGAAATGCTGAATTTCAAACCGCAAAATGCTACTTATAATTCTGGCACTAAAAAATTTCATTCGTTTTTTTCTATTATTAAAAATGGCTGATTGAAAAATTTGCTCTCATACTTTCCTGTCGTAATAGCAGCCGAATCAATCTAAACTACTATAATTATATGGTTCTCAGTTCAGAGTAAAATTATACTATATAAATACTGAGCCCATTTCTCGACAAAACGTTAATCTCAGAAAAGCCGTCGTCAGATTGATAACAAAACCTCGTCGTCAGATTGACAATTATACAAATGGGTTTTCCACACTTTCCGTCGAATGGGTTACGATCCCAAAAATATTTCGCGGATTGACACCATAACATTGAAATTATTTTACTTTCTTAACGCTTGCCATTTAACATGAAAGCCGGTCCCACGCTCCCCCACTGTATGAAATTAAAACAGAGTGATATAACAACTGTTGCTTCTCGCCTCAAAAGAGCGCTCCATAAAGTGGTGCAA